AAAACATAATATCAACCCTCCCCCCCCCCCCCCCCCCCCCCCCCCCCCCCCCCCCCCCCCCCCCCCCCCCCCCCCCCCCCCCCCCCCCCCCCCCCCCCCCCCCCCCCCCCCCCCTCCCCCCCCCCCCCCCCCCCCCCCCTGGTCCCGCTTTAGCTCTCCGCGCGCAATTGTCGCTAACTTCAAATCATTAGGGCTGTAACCGTCGTCTTGACCCTCTGCTCGCATATCCCGCCTGGGTGCGTCGCACCGTGCCGACGGGCATTTCAAATGATGCCATGGGATCTGTCCCGCAACACCCCTTCTTCCTACGCGTGATCGAATTGCTGCAGTCCTACGACCGCAGCTGGTTGCTGCCCTATATCACAGTCATGTACTCGACTGGCCCTCTGTTCCTTTCGGTGATCTGGAAGGAATACATGCAGGAAATGCCGAGCGAAGCTTCCCGGGTTCGAATTCTCATGCAGGAAGAATACAACAAGTACTCGTGGAGCTTCTTCACCCACCACGTTGGCAACAGCTGGCATGGGAAGGATGCTCGATTAATCTTCTGGATGGGACAGCACTGGGTTTTCCTCACCTTCTGCGGCTTCTTTCTTGCCGGCGCCGTGGGTTTCTGCCTTTGGTGGAGCTACGGGCGAATGCTGCTCTTGAGCTCCAAGTATCGCTACCGATACTCGAAAGTGCCGGCCTTCCTGACGGTTCCCGGCCTCTCGTCCCCTTCGCGCCGGTCCCGACGGGCCATGCCCACATTGCTCCGTCGGGTCAGCTTCAAAGAAGACGAAGAAGCGGGCCCCGTCGAAACATCTTACGAACTTTACAGCCGACGTGACTAAGCGGAGTCTTATCGCCGTGCTCGTTGTACTTGTGTGTATTTCTTCTTTTTTCCCGTTTGCTTTGAAACTTTTCCTTTGGCGTCGACATGCCTTCTTGAACGACTTTACACCAATCTTTTTGTCTGCTTGTTTTCCTCCGACATCCCACGTGGGACTGTCGAGATTCTGTTTCAATCTGGTGTGCATGTAAGGAGTTTTTTTGGGAACCCGATTTTGACCGCAGCGCTTCTTGGGAGCAACTGGTTGCTTTGAGCATGTTGACAGAATACCTTTGATCTGTATGGGGGTGAGCCTGCCATGCCGGGTGACACTTTTCCAATCTTGTCCCTTTTCACTTTTCCATTTACAACCCTTTTAACTTTTTTTGGCCTGACTGTTCCTTTCTCCCTTGTCATTTGAACCTACTACTATTAACCTCCACCTGTTCTTGTCTTCTCTGTCCCTTTGCCTCCTTTCTTATTCACCTTTCCTTCTTTTCATACATACATAGACTTGCGATCAGATTGGGTAGATGGATGGATACCTTGCGGCCGTTCCAGTCCCAGACGCCGGGAGCCAGCTGGACTCGCGCAATGAAAATATTATATATTATTGTGCCAACGAAATGACCAGGGTAGAATCATGTAACAACACACTCATATGGCTCGGGGATTCAAGGCTAAAGAGAGACAGGATGCTACGCAAGAGATGAGAGCAGGTTGGCGGAGCGAACCGAGCCCAATCACTCCTAGACCTGGCTCCTTTATAGTTGGGGGGCGTTCGGTGTGTTTAGAAATGGGGCCCTTCATCGCTGCAGGATCGAGGCTTGTCCTGCAGAGATTCTTCAGTGGTTTAAGAAAGAGACCCTCCTAGATTAAGGGGGGGAATGGCCAACAGGTTGGGCCAGTGTGATTTGTGTGCTGGAAAGCTCCGCTAAGCTCTTCGTTCGAGATGAGCCAGCGTCTAAGCTGATTGCAGTATGGCAGGGTTCCATCGACTAGAGACATGGCGACATTTGGCCCAATGACTGCGCTCACGCTTGGTTTAAGTTGCCTGCAAGTCGGCTCCGCCGGGGCCAATGATCGTCTGAAAGGGCGAAACAAGCACTGTTGGGCTGACAGGCAAGTCCGTCCTTTGGCCCTTGGGGTCTGAAGACTGACGGAGTATGGCTCGCTTTTAGACCTGCTCGTTACTTGATTCACTGCGGCTTTCCACTCGACTGCCCACTGAGACGGCGTTACATTCCTTCTTCCGCCCCCAAGTATGTGGAAGAGGAATGCATATAAAAGGGATTCCCCGGTTCCTGGAGACCGTAGAGAAAACAGATATAAGGACCTCCCTTTCCCCTTCTTCCAGTCCTTGTGATTCATCAGAAACAAAGAGCAAAACACCCAAGTGACACAAGTTGCAGTAGCTGGAACTACTAGTCAATCCCTCCACTCTACGCACACATACAAAAACCCTCTTTCTTTTGCTCTTTATCTCTCATTTCGCATCCCCTCCTCTCCAAAATGAGATCTAGCCAAATCACCAACGCCCTTCTGGCGCTCTCCGTGCCCTTGCTGGCTGGCACCGCATCGGCTTCTACTTTCGAGGCTCGCGATGTCCAGCTCACGGCCCAGCAGATCGAGGCCATTGCCCCCACCTCCAACACCTGCGACGGTGCCCCGATCCCCGAGGAGTGCGCAACCTCAGAGCAGGCGGCGCTGAACATCGCCAAATCCTTCGAGACCTACGAGGTTACTTCGCCTGCTGAACAGGCCGCCGTCATCGGCCTGATGGCCTTCGAGAGTGGTGATTTCAAGTACAACCACAACCAGGGGAACCCCGGACAAGGCAGTATGTACTCCCCTTCCTTTCTTTACTTACATCCCTCCCCTCCCCTCTATACATAAAACAATCGCTAACGTATATTACACAGCTCGCAACATGCAATCGCCTGCGTTCAACGCCCAATACGCGGCCTCGCTCACCAGCATCGCTGACCAGGCCGTGGCCCTGGCCGCCGACCCGGTCGGCCTCCTTAACCTTCTAGTGGGCGACGAGACGATCGACTTCGGTTCCGGCGCCTGGTTCCTCACCACCCAGTGCACCCCGGACGTGCGCACTCAGCTGCAGACCGGATCGGCGGCCGGCTGGGCCGCCTTTGTCAGCGGCTGCGTGGGCACTGATGCCAGCGGAGATCGCCAGGCGTATTGGCAGCGCGCGGCCGAGGCGCTGGGCGTCCAGACTGCTTAGGTAGAGAGATAGATTGTATTGGGGAGGTTGTTGGATAGGGATTTTTCTTCTTTGCTTGACTGTTTTTTGATATGTAATTTTTTCTCTCTTCTTTTCTTCTTCTTGGTTAATTCATTGATTAGTTGATTGATTGAGTAGCGGCTTGCCTTTGAGCGAAAAGGGAATAGTAAGGGAAGGGAGTAAGTGGAATGTATATTTTTCTTTCGAATTTGAGTCTATCCATTTTTTATTCTTTCTGGGGTTCAAAGATATCACTCTGCATCATCGTAACTTCGTTTCTTATTCTTTCTTTCTTGGATATAACAAGACAACATCATAGACGGGGCCGGTGAGGGAAGAAGAAGGGTCATCCTTCAATTTTTGGCCCCGGTTTCGTATTGCTTGCTGCCTAACTGTTAGTCAAGACCGAGTCAGCAAGCGAGTCTTTATCCCCTCCCTTGCTTTGCCGTTAACAGATCCGTTAATTTATTCTGATTTAGTTTACAACACCCCCTTGGTGCTGACCACATCGCCCGCTCCAACTTCGCCGGCCACTCGTCGAGCACAAGCCATGCGGATGGCCACCGCCAGAGCCTTGAAGGCACTCTCGGCGCGGTGGTGGTCGTTGTCGCCGTACGTGCAGCCCACGTGCAGCGTGACGCCGGCAGCCTGCGCGAAACTCTGCAGTCCGTGGGTGATCATCTCCGTGCTGAGGTCTCCGATCTTCTCGCGCCGGAAGCCAATGTTGATGACGGCCCACGGGCGGCTGGACAGGTCGATCACCGCCCACGACAGCGCCTCGTCGAGCGGCGCGTCGCCGCGACCGAAGCGGGCGAGCGATTGGCGGGCGCCGAGCGCCTTCGTAAAGGCCTCGCCGACGGCAAGGAAGGTGTCTTCGGTGGTGTGGTGGTCATCAACTGTGGGAAACAAAATGTCAGCCAATCCGAAACTGATGTATGCTTGATACTAGGTACTACTACGTACTGTACAGATCACCCTTGGCCCGGACGGCCAGACTCATCCCCGAGTGCTTCGCCAGCGCATGTAGCATGTGGTCCAGGAACCCGATTCCCGTGCTCACGGTGATCTGCTGCGTGGCGGTGAACTGGGTGGCATGCCCCGCATCCTTGGGAGGCACGATTCCGTGCTTCGCGGCCTCGGCTTCCTTGGGGTCTTCGGGCGTGGGGAAATGTTCGTTCGCATCGTAGGGAGGGAGCACGCCTCCGTCTAGGGAGAGAGAGACTTGGATCTTGGTCTCATTGGTGACGCGCGAGATCGTCGCAGTTCGCTGGGCGAGGGGCATTGTGAGGGTGATAACGAGATAATAAGGGGGGAGGGGTTTGAAACTTCAATTCTGAGAGTCAATTGATAGATGATGAGCAGATGCAATGTATCCGATGCGAATGTGCCGTAGCAAATGGTGACTAGCAATTAGTGAGTAGGACCAGTAATGAACGAGATGTGATTCGACTTCTTTTTTCCTCTTCGACCGGACTTCGGAGTGGAGTTGATCCGGCTCGGCCAAACTTGCGTCATTTCGCTTCGTTGGATGTTTTCTTCCTCTTCGGCTGTCTCGATACTCGATACTAGTCGATAGTCCATCCTCGATACTTGTGCCACAACTATGCCACCCCCGTCCAGCCAAAAAGGGGACATCGAGCCCCCTGAGGAGATCACTACCGAGGCGGTGCGCGGCTTTCTGACGGGCGCTTTTCGGGTACGTCGTCCCTTACGATCATCGTCCAGGACATACATGGTTGACGGGACTTGGACTTCCATTGTCTTGTCATCTCCTGTCGTTTCCTCTCCCCCTTTCCCCCCTTCCACGTCATACTTCATCCGTCATGCCTACGATCTTTCCTATTCGATGTGCCGCACCTGACGAAGCAATTGTGACCTCAGTTTGGCTCCGTTTCGATCCTCGCCCATATGATTATGATCCTCCCCCATCCCTTCAAGTTCTCTCCCTCTGCGACGCCACCAGCGCCATCGCAAACTCAATCGCATCATCCGCACCCCAGACCGTCGCCCTTCTCCAAGGAGTTTCTCCAGAATCGGCTCTTTCACCGCCCGCTCGAGGGCTTCTCGGACTGGCTGTCCCCGGCCTCGCGGGTCTACCGCGGGTTGACTCCGCAGTTCAAGGTCTTCCTGCAGATCGCAGCCATGACCCTCGGGGGATGTATCTGGGCCGAGAGACGAGTCAGCGAGTACATCAATCTCATCCGCAAGGTCAAGCGAGCGGAACGAGTGCAGGCGGAGCGAGCATCGCTCTATAAGGAATAGAAATATAAATTCACCACCAGCCGGTTCTGGTATGTATGAGTAGAGTTCGATTTCTTTTTTTTTTTTTTTTTTTTTTTTTTTTGCCCGTTGAATCCCACTTTGAAATCGCAGAGAAAGGCCATTTGACGATGAAACTCCTGTGTTTATTTTTATTCCTCTTCCCCCGTTGGTATTCTGTCCCAATTCCCACCCACGACGAGGCTTAGTTTGTTTCACGGCTCGATCTGGCCCAGAAATTCCACCGCCGGGGCCACGGGTATAGGAGGCCCCCCGTAGCTCCCGCTCCACCGGCGACCCGATGCTACGAGGGTCCGTCAGGGTTCAGACCCAGGTCCAGGTCCAGGTCCAGGATCAAATAATCTCATTATTGCCGTGACCCGGTCTCGGGGGAGCTACTTGTCTAGATTCCAGTCTCGACGGCGACGGCGACGACGACTGGGCGTGCCTTGTCCCGAACGAGCGACTTGTGGAGATGGTAGAGCGAGTCCAGTTTAGTTCCCCCCGTTCCGTAGATCCTGAAATTTGATGAGGATCCCCGATCAGGAGGAATTGCTCTTCTCGAAAAGAGTCTAGTCCGCACTAGTTTTGCACCGGAGGAGAGGAGGTTCGTTCGGGAAGGAATGGGTCTTTTTTTATTTGTTGCCACCGGCCCTCAGAAACATGAGCAATGGCATAATTACTGAGTGCTCCGTCTGTTGGCATTCGCCGAGAACCTTCCAGAATGAGGCAAATCCGACTGGAGACGTGATTGGTTCCAGGATTTCTGGGAAGTCTGGCATGGTCCGGAGACGGCCATGGCCATGGCTGAGTTCCAGTTCCAGCTCCATTTCCCCCTGGACGAAGGCGGTGCTCTGGGCGGGGATCGAGTGGAGCGCGAGCGGGCGTCTGGAATCGGGATTGAGGAATCTAGTGTACTTCGTGTCTTCGTCCTCAGGGCGAGATTGGACGTTTCAAGCGGAGGCGATCATTTGGGTGAAGACCGAAGACGATGAAACAGGAGGCAACGAGCATGATCCGCGAGTATCGAGTATTGAATCAGGATGGAATAATATTGGAGGGTTGTCAAAGTTTCCAAAAGTCCCAAGGTCCCGCGGGCGGCAGAAGTTCCACTTGCCGCTCCGTCTTGGTCGTCCTCTCTCTCTCTCTCTCTTCTTCCCTCTCTGTAGATCCCATGTCAATTCCTCTTTTTTTCTTCATCATCATCAGCATTATCATCGTCATCGGCAACCATTGATCATCCATTGATCATTGACCATTTGTCCATCAGTCCTATCAGTCTATCAATCGATCAATCCCCCATTTCCATGTCGTTTGCAGCCAACAACCACCCAAGTCCGGCCTGACATCATCTCCCTCCCTCCCCACCTCTCCTGCTCCGTCCCTTGGTTGCTTGTGACTCCTGGTCGAATGAAAACCCCCCGATCTGCAACTGTCTGATCTCATTTCTCCGGATTCTCGCCAGGAACTCGCGGCCTTCCGTTTCGGTCCCTTGGTTGCTGCTTGGCCCGTCCCCTGTTCGACCCGGTCGGACTGCGTTCGGCCTCATCCTCTCCTCTTCCGGGCGCTTCGTGAGCGCCTGCGATCCCACAATTGCATTGTCGAATTCCTCCTCCACGTTCGAGGGGTGGACAGGTGGAGGTAGGTGTACGCTGTACGGAGTAGTAGTTGGTGGTAGGTGTTTGTCGGGATGAGCTGGAGCTTTTAATTTCGTTTTTGATTTGACTCTTGTCTTACTTAGGTTGCGTTGCCTCCTAAAGCGAGATTTCTTTGCCCCCCCTACGGTCCCTCCTGAGCACTTTTTTTTTTTTCTCCCCATCTCCACTTTCTTTAATATACGCTTTTTTTCTTTTTTTCTTTTTTGTCTCTCGCTCTCGTTGCCTCTACGCACTGTCCGTATTGCGCGAGCAATTCCCTCTCTCCCTCTCCCTCTCCCTCTCACCCTCGTCGCTCTCTCTCTCACTCACTCTCCGCCAGCTCAGTTGCTTCTCATGGCATCGTAACGGATTGCTGTATGTTCCACTTTCCTTCTTGCCCCCCCTCTCCCCTGTCGCCTCTTATTTGTTTACTTTCATCCTGGCTCCACCTGGCTAGCTCGCTAGTCAGCACTTATGGTTCCCGATCTCCTTGACTTGTCTCGCAGCATGTCATTCCACTCTTATCGTATGGTGATAATAGCTAACGGCAGCCGCTCTTTTCTTTTCTCTCCCCTTTAGTGAGAAGCGACTCCGAGGTCGTCGATGTGATTGATACCCACTCTCCCTTGTCTTCCCTCTTTCCCCGTATCCTCTCTCTGTTGATAGTCTTTTTCTTCGTAAATTATTCTCTCCTTTTTCTTTCTTTGTCTCTGTCTCTGTCTCTGTCTCTCCCCCTCCCTCCCTCCCTAACGCGCGCGCTCTCTTCTCTCTCTCTCCTTCCCTCCCTCCTCTCCCCCAATTCTCCGCCCTCCTCCCCTCCCCGTCATGGCCGATCTGGGGAAGAAAGAGCGGAGAAAAAGCCTGAGCGTGTTCAGTCCGTCCGTGAACTCGTCTCTATCAGGTCCCCCGGCCCACGATCGATCGCCGTCGGATGATGCCAATGTTTTAAAGAAGAAGCCCCGGCGCAATTCCGGCTTCTTTGGCCGCAATGCTAGCCCGCCCAGGAATCCTGGCTCTCGCCGTCCCGGAACTGCCGACTCGGAAGCCACCTGCGTGGCCTTCAATGCCATGCCTCCCCCGGAAGCTCGACCTCGACGCAAATCGATGCAGAAGAAACGGGCCTCGGTCTTCGGGTCCCTGCGGTCGCTACATTCCCTCGACGATGACGACCGTTCGATAGGGCGCTCTAAGGGGTCGTCCGTCGACGACGACGATGCCGACCAGCGCCAGGGCATCGGATCCATCATTCTACATCACGGGGAGATCCAGACGACAGGCGGCATGTGGAGAAAGAAAAGCCAGTACTTGGTCCTGACCGACACCCATCTCGTTCGATTCAAGAATCAGGCCAAAGCCGCCGATATGTACCCTTCGATCCCGCCATCCTTTGCCCGCGGGGCGGGGAATCGCCAATCCATCGCGTCGATTAGTTCGCTGCAGGATCCGCTTTCCGCCCCGACAGACGCCTCCGCCGGCATCCCGCTCAACAGCATCATTGCCGTTTACATGTTGGACGATGGCCGGCCCTCGTCGACGGTGGAGGTCGCCTACCTGGACGAACGCACCTACAAGACCACCTTTATCCAGATGCAGACGCCCGACTTCCAGGAGCTGAACTTGTGGATGGTGGGCATCCGTTCTGCGGCGGAGCTGATCCGACAGGCCGACCCTTTACGCTTCGACCGAAGGTCGGTGGAGTGTGTCGTCAGAATGCTGGATTACGAACGAGACTATGACCCCGAAACGTTTCGCATGTTTCGCGTCATTCAGATGGCCTCGAGCAAGTCCCCGACGCGGGCGTCGTCGGAAGACCTTACCAAGCTCTCCCCTACCGGCTGCTATCTCGCGCTGGGCTCCCACAAGCTTCACCTCATCCCGCTACACAAGGTCGGCAATCGCAATTCGGTGGTGTCGTTAACCGATCTCGACACCGCAACATCGTTTGGTCTGATGAACCTCACCTCCTTGTCCATGGAATGGGGAGACGACAGCCTGCATCTGACATTTCGGTATTTGTTTTTCTGATCTTGCTCCCCTCTCCCTGCCCAGATGGCTAACCGTTCGTCACAGAGTCCCTCTGCGCAAGTCGTTTTCGGTCTTCCTGGCATCTGTGCATTCCCTCGAGGTTGCCTTCTGGATAAGGCAGCAAACGGAATTTCTGCGACCTCTATGGATCAGACAACCCTACGAATTCATCGTCCCCCGCGACTTCGACAATGATTGCAACTTCCCCCCGGTGGACTTGGCAGAGGATTACGGTTGTTTCGATCGGACTCTCGTCGCCTACTCGGCCAGCTACGATATCGACACCTCCAACATCCGATACACGATCGACGTGCAATGCGAGGATGCCCCCTGTTTCCGACTCCTGCCCCCGGCAACATCGCGCCGCCAGAAATACTCCGCGCTCGAACTCGTCGCAGTGATGCGCGCCCTCCGATACAACGAATCGTTCCGGACCATCTCGTTCAGCGGTGTTTGCTTGGACGCGCTTCAAGGCGTTCACGATCTGCACGGATTCGACACGGATATGCTTCTCAGTCGCGCCGGCGCCCCAATTCACATCCCCGGCCAGGAAAACTTGTCTGTCCTATCGCAGGAGATTCGGGCCCTGACTCTCAAAAGCAAATGGCTTCGGCGCCTCGACTTTTCCTATACGCTGAGCCGCACCCCTAAATCCGACAGCGAAAGCCATGACCCCGGTTGCGGAATCCCCGAGGCTATCTTCCCCATCTGTCGCAGGGAATTGACGAGTGTGGACTGGATCGTTCTCAACGGCATCAAACTTGGGGATTCCGACCTGGACTACCTGGTCGATGCGGCCTCCCAGCGAGGGAGTCATCTCCGGGCCTTGGAAGTTGGCAATTGCGGTCTGTCCGTTCACGATATGGACTTGCTCCTTTCCACCACCATCAGTCAGGCTTCGACGCTGGAGGCGGTTAACATTTCCGGCGTCCAGGGGCGATTGAATCCGGATCTTCTTCAGCAGTACCTGGGCTATTTCGGCCAGATCCGGAAACTTGACTTATCCCGAATATCCAGGATGTCGGGCTCAGAGCCCTTGATCACCGCGGAGACCTTGTTCAACTGGCGGCTCGAAGAGCTCTCGTTGAGTCGGACTGCAGTGAACAGGGAGACCGTCGACTCGATTGCCACCTACCTGGCCAGCGAGCGGTCTCGAAACCTTCGCGTTCTGAAGCTTGGCCAGTGTGGGCTGAGCGGTCAAGACGTCGCCATCTTCCTCCACTCGATCGCGGCCTTGGAGAAATCGCGCAATATCCACCTCCACGTGAACGAGAACCGACTCGACCAGGGCTGCTCCTATCTTTTCAGCGCCATTGCCCGAAACAACACCCCGTCGCATTTGTCGATGCAGATGATCGATTTCAAAAAGGAAGAGCAATTTCAGGAACTCGCGGAAGCGTTGCGGAAGAACCGTACCTTGAAGTATCTCGACATCTCGAAGGCGTCTCTTCCGTATGATGCCGGCCCCGAGACCTGCAAGTCGCTGCAGCTGATGTTCGAAGAGAACGACACGCTGGAGGACCTAGATATCAGCGGGGAGAGCGCACACCTGGACGTCGCTCGATTTGGCATTGGTCTCAACCTGGCACTGACTGGTCTGAAAAAGAACAAGTCGCTGAAGGTTCTCAAAATCGAGCACCAGAAGCTGGGGTTGCAGGGTGCGAACACCCTGGCATCCGTGCTGGAGGAAAACACCTGCCTCCGGGAGGTTCATTGTGAAAACAATGACATCAACCTCCAGTCGTTCACGGTGCTTATCAACGGCCTCCAGCGCAACAAGTCGCTCTTGAGCCTCTCATACATGGACCGCGACCGCACCAGGTCCCTCGACAAGGTGCGCCGTGAGATAGAAAGCGTGAAGCGAGACCTGAGTGCTCAGCAAGGGTCCACCACGAGTTCCCTTCGCCGCTCGTTGCACGCTGCAATGAATGTGAAAAGTGGGTATAAGTCAAGCAAACCTGGTCAGCTTCGATCCGGGGTCTCGGTGCCGTCAAACCTTGCTTCGTCCGCCGAGACTTCGCCGTTGTTGACTCATGACATCGAGGTCATTCTGGAATCGCTGGGCAAGAAGTGGGACCTTGAGGTGGGTCGTCTTCGCCGGTATCTGTTCCGAAACTACAACCTGGCCCATGGCATCGACGATGGCACCCTGGCACCTCCTAGCGTGGACGATGCTTCCAGCGATGGACGCCCTGCCACCGCCACGAGTCTTGGGACGATGCTGGACAGCCTCAAGCTCGAGGTCGCCGTGTCTACCAACGAGGTCTCTTCGACGAGGAAACCCTCGCCCCTCGACACCAGCTCGCAACCGTCACCGGACCTGAGTCCTACCGAGACGCCTCCCACCAACCACTTGGAGATCTTCCAGTGTCTTGATGCGGACAGCAGTCTGGAAAATGAACTCCAGAAGCGACCGCAGACGGCACCTTTCTCCTTCCCCGAATTTGCCCCCGGGCCGCAGATCCTGCACCCGGAGTATGCAGGTTCGGCCCCTGGCTCCTCGCGCCTAGCCGTGCCGGTCCCCGCTATCCCGTCCGTCGTCAATAAATCCAGCAGCGTCCGCAGCGCTCGCAGCTCCAGCACCGCTTCTACTAGTGCCGGCACTGCCACAAGTGCCCGGAGTGCCTACGGAACAGCGTCGTCGGCTCTACGGGGCTTTTTGTCCGGAGGCGCGTCGAAGGAGCGCCGCAGGATGGAGAAGATGAACTCCGGTGCTGTGTGTGTCTCGAACGACCGGCCCCCGAAGCTGGAATGGGTGCCACCTCATCTCGATCTAGGCAACTTTCGCTAGCCCTCTCTATCTCTCCGCTTGACCTTGAACCAATGAGTCGTCACCTGGCTCCATTTCAAACCTTGGGGGTTGACCCCTAACCAACGATTCATGAATTTGTATAACGACTACTATCATCGAAACTCCACTTCGCTAGTCGAACCGACGTCTTTTCTCTCATTTTAGACCGTGTCATTTCCATCGCGGAAAGTCCATGATATCCACCTTTTGTTCCAGCAACAAGCAAAAGCATTCTCATTTTGAGTGTTGACATTCCCTACCTTTTTTTCTCTCTTCTTCTCAAATACCAACCAACTAACTACCTCTCCTTTTTCTCTTTTTGTTCTCATTGGGTGTAAACCTTCTTCCTCATCTCAACCAAATGGCGTTTTCATTTCTCTTTTGGGTCGAAGCCTGTCAAATACCTCATTTGCTTTGTATTTATTTCCCCCCTTCATCTTTCCGGTTCCCATCTGACCCTTTTTGCCTCGGGAAAGGCAATTTCAATCCAGCAATTATTCGATCATTCCAGGAGCAGGAGATTTATCTGGTGTTTAGGATTTTGTGTGATTTGGTTTGGCGCAAGGACCTTTTTCTTTCATCTCGAACCGGCGGCGTTTGCTTTTTTTTTCCCTTTTTTTTTTTTTTTTTTTTTTTTTTCTGTGACTGACTGAATGGATGGGTGTTTATTTTGGGGAGGAATTTTTAAAAGGAATCGATTCATTGACTGACCAACCCCTTCCCTCTCGCCCTCTGAATTTTTGTCTTTTGTGAACATCTGTAAAAAGATTTGTCGGGTTTAACAGTTATGTATGTGCCTCTCTCTGGCTGGCTGGTTTTTGTGTGACTTGTGAAACATTGCGTGATTGATTTTCTGGGAAAGGCTGTCTTACATATCTCATTTCAATGTCTTAATTGTTAATGGTATAGAAATATATGACTTGTCTGTCAGATTATTATACCCTTATGGTGGGTGTACTCCGTATATTGTATTAAATTAACTGACGAGAAACCAGGAAAGAGAGAGTAGTTATGGATGGAATAGGGGAATCAACGCTTTCTATAAATACCTATATACTATTCCGTTCAAAATCTGTTTTGCATCGTGTACTCCTGCCATTGAGTTAACTATCCTCTTTCCCATTTTGCACAAAACATATCTCACCATACTAGCTAAACCGAACAGCTGCTCCGATAGGTATCTGGGTCCCTGGTTGCCAAGGCAAAAACAAAACAATAATTGTAATATAGTACAAGAGAAGAATAGATCCCAAAGGTCTCTATCTATAGGAATTATGTATTCATGTATGCCATGCCATGCCATGCATAGGAAACATACACACAGAGCTCACACACCCAAATGAGCAGAAAAGAGTAGTCACGCTTTCATCCCGATTCTTTATTTGGTGTCGTCAAGGACAACAATGCCCTCGTCCTTGTCTTTCACATTTTCATGATTCCGGAACGCTCGGCCCTTCAAGGTATATTTTCGCAGTTGTGCAAGATAGGTCTTGTTGAAGGGATCTCTAGAGTCTGACTTGTTGTCGATAGCCTTGGCGCGTCGGATCTGACACGCTTTGTAGTTGAGGCGGGCAGTATTGTCCTCCATGTCGTTGAGGCCGTACTCGACGGTCCATTCATCCTTCGGTTTCAGGCGTTCGGGTCGGGTCACGAATTGGCCATTGACCTTGTTGCGGATGATGAGTTGCAACCCGAGCAGCTCCTTCCGGTTCTCGGGGTCCTCAGCGGACTCCTGGGCCTCAGCGAACGCCTCGGCGAACTCCTGGTCCTGGTCCTGGTCCTGGTCGGCGGCGGTCAACTCATCGTCCGTGGGCTCCGATGATTCGTTCGCCAGTTCGCTTTCTTGATCTTGCTCTTGCTCTTCACTCCTGATGGCGTCCGATAGCTGCTCCGCGTCGTCCTCGTGGGGGGCAAGGTTCAAGATACGTCGCTGATAGGCATCGATCTCCTCCTGGTTCTTCGTCTGAATGGCGTGGATTTCTTCATCGGTCACGGGCTCGGCGAAGATATACATGAATGATTCGCTTACTTTGGAGTCGCGGGTCTCGAAGTGGAGGCGGACAGATTGCTTGGGATACTTGGCCGTGACCTTGTCGAGGACCTTATTCCACAAGGCGACACTCAGTCGGAATTCTTGGTCACCCAAGCACGCGTGCTTTTGGCCATGTAGGGTGGAATCCATCTCATTCAAGCTCACATACTGGAATCCAAAGATACGCTGGATGTTGTGAAACGCCACGAAGATACCGTCCATGCGACCGATACGAACTTGGAGGGAGTATTTGAGGAAGGCTGCGCGGATCATGTCGTAAAATTCCCGCTCGTACGATTCGAATCCGCCGTGTCTGTCTCGGATCTCGTATCCAACGCCGTCTTCGAAGTTCTGTGCATCCATTCGAATGGACACGACGGCGCGAGTTTTGAGATCAAACATTCCGGTTCCTGGGAGCCTTGGGTCGTAAGCGTCCAGCTGGGACCGCATGACGAAGTCACCTAGGGTAGAATAATGGTACGACTCCGGTATAGCTTGCTCCTCCTCTGCAGAGATCTTGTTCGCACTGGATCGTCGGTAGCGTTCAAAGTCTTCCTTGGGTAGCGTGAGGAGCTTCTCCATTGATTTTCCCAAATTCATCAGGATGTTGGCCGAGTCGAACTCCTTATCCGCATCGACGGCGTACACACCATCCTGATATCTCAGGAACATGGCCGAAGGGGCGCGCAGCAGTCGTGTAAAGTTCCGCAACTTTTCCGGGAAGGACTGGGACATAGTGCCAATGTCGATTGGCCTCCAGGCCGAGAGTAAATAATGGAAGTGTGAGAGCGCAGACGTCATGCTTGACGAAGAACCTACGTATTTCTTTTGTTTCTTTAGGGCTATGTTTCGCAAGGTATGGTCCTTGGAGGATGTGATGTAGTCCTTTAAGGCAGTGAAATCGAATTCGGTGACGGGCATGATCGAACCCAGATAAGGATCAAAGTTATAGACGCGAGACCGGGGGTCACGAAGAGTGTAGACGCCGGGGCTGATTCAATCGCATAAGTCAGTGAGAAAAAAAAAAAAAAAAAAAAAAAAGATGGAAAAAAAGATAGGAAGGAACAGAAGATGGGACTCGACCTACTTGAACAGGACTCTTTCCAGACCATAGGACAACCGTGGCACCGGCGACGTCTCAACATCCAAGGCTAAGGAGAAATTAACGAAGATGTCGACAGGAGAGGGGAGGAAATCTAGGGAAAACGTACGCTGAAGAGTGAGATCTTTGGAATTGATTGTGCCACCCTCCTTGGGACCTAGATATTTCGTAAATACCGAGTGAGGAGTTTCCTTCTCTGATTCCCGGGCACTAGCTTTGTTGAGCGCCAAGGAGTGCGTAGTCTGCGGTCGATTAGTATCCAGAGGAAGGGTTGATTCTGGGTTCTTTGGGCTTACCATAAAGTCGCTCTTTTTATCGACTACCTTTCGAATTTCGATAGGTGTCGACTTTCGGCGAGGTACCCCCTGCCTAGTTTTACGATGTGTAGCGTTTTGATCTTTGTGGTGGATGCCACGTTTGTTCTTGGATTCCTAAATATGGATTCGATGTCAGGACAGTTCACGGTGCACAACAGGCAGCGGCGCTTTGTCATTGGGATACTGCAAGAAAAACCCGGAAAGACTCGCTCACCTTGTCAGAATTTAAGATATTCTTGTCCGTGAAGCCCGCGGCCCGCGATACAGCGGTACTGTGGAAGGGGCGGAGGGCATGGTTGCGACTGCGAAGGCCTTGCGCAAAACAGGAGACGCAGACATGTTCACGGACACGGTCTGAGACAGACCGCTGAGAGACCCGGAACATTCAGGCCAGAAGTGTCCGGACGGTTTTGAGGCGCGTAAAGGGACGAGAGCAGATCAATTGACTCGAGGGAGTGACGCCGGCGGATGCGAAACGTTGGAAGTTGAAGTTGAAGTGTTGCTTCTTTTCGGCTTCTTTTTTCTCGCGCCGCTCCGTTTTTTTTTTGTCGCTGGATTCTCACCGCCTACCGAGTGAAGAATACTCACCGCCCACGATATCGGGACACCCGTATTCAATACCATCAATACCCCGTGGGTGCCTGGATGTCTGGATGACACTCGCATATCAAAGGATCAGGTTAGTAGAATCAGCTCCTCTAGATAGATCGTCCTCTGAGCGGAACCTACAAGTGTATGAAGACCCAAGCTACCTATCCAGGGAGGAGTCTTGACTAGACCTAATTCAACTCCAATGTGATCCAAATCCGGGGTCGGAGGGGGAAAGAAAAAGAACGCCCCGCCAGAAGGGAAAAAAAAAAAATTTTAAAAAAAAAAGGCCCGTGATTCTCCCTCCTCTTTGGAGGGGTTCCAAAGCTCTCCATCTTTTCCCCCAAAGTCCTTTCCATCCCACAATATTTTGTGCAGTCGGATCTCCAGTGATCTCTCGTGTGAGGTGAGTCTTTTTTCCGTCTTGTTTTTTTCTGTTATTTTTTCCTCGTGTCGTTCTTGCAATGTCCCATCCCATTGTGACGTCGAGGTCGGTGAATCATGAGGGGCAGCCGAATAGTCTCATTCTCCTCCCCTTCTTGTCTCGCCCGGCCTTCGTTCTTCTCATTCTAATGGATCGCCCGCAGGTTTTCTCGAGAACACGACGTCCAACAAGATGTCTCAAGATCAATTGCGCGTGCTCATTGTCGGCAATGGCGGCCGTGAACATGCTTTCGCCTGGAAGTTGAGTCAATCCCCCCGGGTCGAGACCGTCTACGTCGCTCCGGGTAATGGCGGCACGGGGCTGGGTGCCTCCAGCAAGATCGCCAATGCCAACGTCAAGGGTGATGACTACCCCGGCCTAGTCGCTTTCGCTCAGAAGAACGGCGTGAACCTGGTCGTCCCCGGTCCCGAGGCTCCTCTCGTCGACGGCATTCAAGGATATTTCCAAGCAGGTAAGTGGGCATCGTTCATCCTCTGGACCATCCCTCACTCCCCCGTCTCGAAACTCGTCTTTTCCTAACCCATTTCATTAGTTGGTATCAGATGCTTCGGCCCGTCCAAGGCGGCAGCCCGTATGGAGGGTTCCAAGACCTTTTCCAAGGACTTCATGAAACGCCATAACATCCCCACGGCTGTCTACGAGAACTTCTACGAATACGAACCTGCCCGCCAGTACCTCGATTCCGTTTCCCACAATGTTGTCATCAAGGCCGACGGGTTGGCCGGTGGTAAGGGCGTCATCATCCCCACGACGAAGGAGGAGGCCCACCAGGCTCTCCGTGAGATGATGCTTGACCATCAGTTCGGCGAGGCTGGCAACGAAGTTGTCATCGAAGAGTACCTCGAGGGCGACGAGCTGAGTGTTCTCACCTTCAGCGATGGTTACACCATCCGGTCTCTCCCGGCAGCACAGGACCACAAACGTATTTTCGACGGCGACCAAGGTCCCAACACCGGTGGTATGGGCTGTTACGCTCCCACGCCGATCTCGTCCAAGGATGTTCTGGCGGATATTGACCGCACGATTGTGCAGCCCTCCGTTGACGGCATGCGAAGAGACGGTAAGTACTGTTCTGCCTAACCCCCCAAGAACAGCGGACCTGACTTCCCTCTCTCAAGGTTTCCCCTTCGTGGGTATTCTTTTCACCGGTCTGATGATGACCAAGAACGGTCCCAAGGTCCTTGAATACAATGTCCGTGGTGGAGACCCGGAAACCCAAACGCTCCTGCCTTTGCTGAGCGACGATACCGACTTGGCCGAGATCATGGTGGCTTGTACGGAGCATTGGCTGGATGGTGTCTCCGTCAATGTGAAGCCCAACTTCTCGACTACCGTGATTGCCGTGGCAGGAGGCTATCCCGGATCGTATGCCAAAGGAAAGGCGATCACCCTGGACCCCCTGCCCGAAGACACCCTAATCTTCCACGCGGGAACCACTCTCGTTGGCAACGAGCTGCAAACGTCAGGTGGCCGAGTTATTGCGGCCACCGCTACTGCATCGTCGCTCGAAGAAGCCGTGCACAAGAGCTATGTCGGCGTCTCCACGATTCACTTCGCGGACATGTTCTACCGCAAGGACATTGCGCACCGCGCCTTCAGACAGCGAGATGCCGTTGCATCCCAGCAGCAATCGCTGACCTACGCCTCTGCCGGTGTGTCCATCGACGCCGGCAACGATCTGGTTAACAAGATCAAGAGCTCCGTTGCGCAGACCAAGCGCCCCGGAACCGACGCAGTAATCGGTGGCTTCGGAGGTCTCTTCTCTCTAGCCGCCGCCGGTCCCACCTACCACCCGCACTCTCCCACGCTGATCGGAGCCATCGACGGCGTCGGCACCAAGCTCAAGATTGCTCATACGGTGGGCGTCCACGACACCGTAGGTATTGATCTCGTCGCCATGAACGTGAACGACCTGGTGGTCCAGGGTGCTGAGCCTCTCTTCTTCCTTGACTGCTACTCCTGCGGCAAGCTGGACGTCAACACGGCTTCCGCCTTCGTCACCGGCGTCGCCAACGGCTGCGCCCAGGCCGGTTGTGCCCTCATCGGCGGCGAGACCGCTGAGATGCCCGGCCTTTTCATCGACGACACCTACGATGCCGTCGGCGCGGCCGTCGGCGCAATCAACACCTCCGGCGACAACGCTCGTGCCATTCTGCCCGAGACCGCCGCCATGAAGGACGGTGACGTCCTCCTTGCTCTGGCCTCCTCCGGCCCTCATTCCAACGGATACTCGCTGGTTCGGAAGATCGTCGAACGGTCCGGACTCGGCTACAGTGACCCTGCTCCCTTCTCGATGCCCCTGTCCACCTCCACCGAGCCCCTGTCCCTTGGACGCGCGCTCCTCACCCCCACCCGCATCTATGTCAAGCCCCTGCTGAAAGCGCTCTCGATCCCCTCTTCCTCATCCTCCTCCTCTTCATCCGCCATCAAGGGTCTCGCTCACATCACGGGAGGCGGTCTGGCCGACAACGTGCCCCGTATGCTTCCGTCCACCCTGGCCGCGCACATCAACGTCGCTTCGTGGCAACTTCCCCCCGTCTTCTCCTGGCTGAAGAAGAACGGCAACGTCACGGCCACTGAGATGGCTCGTGCCTTCAACTGCGGTGTGGGCATGATCATCGCCGTCGAGAAGGGATCCGCGGCCGCTGTCCAGGAACTCCTGCAAAAGGAGGGCGAGACGGTGTACGAGATCGGTGAACTCAAGGCCAAAAAGGAGGGTGAAGAAGGATGCATCCTGACCGGAATGGAGACATGGGACGCTTAAAAAGACTCCTTTCTTTTCCTTCGTTTTTTTTTTTTATTATCCAAATTTTTTGAACTTTTCAACACACTTCCCAGAATTCATGACATACCTTTATATATCTACTCGAACCTGTTTATGTGATTTTGCTGGGATTACTTGCTCCTTGCAACATGTGCGACGATGGATGAAACTAGAAGAACGCTAGAAAAGCCAAGAAGAAAAGCAATGATAAATGCACTACGTTGAATAGATTACTGTCACCTGATCACTGCACCGGAATTTGTCCCCGTCCCAAAAGGGAAGGAAGGGGAGACATCACATTCCACAAAGGGAAGGCACGATCCATTTGTAGCTACGTCGGTCTCGAAATGGCCTGGACTCCCGAGTCCCATGACATCATGGTCGTTCTACGGCTTGCACACGGAGCTCTCTGTACTTACTACCAACCAGCTCCAGAGTACACATAGGAGACCCGGAGTAGACTTTGATCAGGATGAGACAGACAAAAGTCGGCGGCAATTTTTTGGTTTAGGAGGATAAAACTTAAACCCCAGTCCGAAGAGGGGGAATCTCAAAGAAAAAAAAAAAGGTCCAACACGGGAAAACAAGGAATTCAAACATGAGCGTAGAACTATATGAAAGAGAGCTTTCACCGCGCTGTCCACAAATCCCATGTACAACTTTCGCCTGAATACACCGCATCCGTTCCACTCTTCAGGTTCCCCATGACAGCACGGGCTGTCGGGGCAGAATTGTGCCGAGTGACCAGCGTTTTCAAGAATAAACCGTCTCTATTCCACAGCTAAAATAAAAGTTCCTTTTTCAGGCGATCTTTCCTCCTAGTGCGAGTCAGAGAAGGCCCGCGAGTCACCATTGCCTCCATTCAGTCTTTTAATACATCAGGAAAATACGACAAACGAACCGAATCACGCGCACGAGCTATATCACAAGTCGGTTAGTCCGGGTCTGTCACACGGAAACAGTCAAGTCGTACCTTAGAAGCACTTGCGGTGAACGATCGAGGGGCCGCTCTCGTCGTACTCCTGCTTGGAGATCCACATCTGCTGGAAGGTGGACAGGGAAGCCAGGATGGAACCACCGATCCAGACGGAGTATTTACGCTCAGGGGGAGCGATGATCTTGACCTTCATGGACGAGGGGGCCAGGGCGGTGATTTCCTTCTGCATACGGTCGGAGATACCGGGGTACATGGTAGTACCACCAGACTGTGATAGAGTTAGCTAGAACTGCCGGGAACTCTGGGAAAATATACATACCATGACGATGTTGCCGTACAGATCCTTACGGACGTCGACATCACACTTCATGATGGAGTTGAAGGTGGTGACGTGGATGCCACCGCTTTCCAGACCCAGAACGCTAGGCTGGAAGAGAGCCTCAGGAGCACGGAAACGCTCGTTGCCAATGGTGATGACCTGTCCATCGGGAAGCTCGTAGGACTTCTCGAGGGTGGAGCTCTGGGAAGCGGTCTGGATCTCCTGCTCGAAGTCGAGGGCGACGTAGCAAAGCTTCTCCTTGATGTCACGGACAATTTCACGCTCAGCGGTGGTGGAGAAGGTGTAACCGCGCTCGGCCAAGATCTTCATGA